GATCAGCCGCAAATGATCGAAAACATGCTGATTCATCTCTCTTAAGCCATTTTCACATTCCCAAAGTCAACGATGCTCTCCTCTAATATCACAATTCATCTAATCTGGGAAGCGATTTCCCATTCACAAAGCGTCACTTCCATCATCATCCGAGATCAGAGTTGGAAAATTTGAGATGAAAGCGGGCGAGATACCCGTCTGATATTTCTTGATTTCCCACACGTGAAACGGCGACCAACAATGACGGATATGCCTGTAGCATCTTCGGCCGACAGGGATGGGGAGACGTGATTGCGAATGCTGCAAAACCTAAACCCTAGTTTGCTTTTACTTTAAGGACACAATTGAATAAAAGCGAAGTCTAGAGAGAGAGATGGTTACGGTTAGATAATAGTCTTTTAAGTTAACGATTGAGAAATTTTGCATGAAGGTTTTCTATGGAACATCATGGTCAAACTAGGAGAATAATGGCAGCCTCTTATTTTTCTAAGTGTTTAGGACAGATTTGATCACGGAAGTACCATTTGCCATTCTAAGTGAAACTGTAATATAACCCTAAAAATCATACCGAATCACCCATATTCACTTCTTCTTTTTTAGACGTTTTCTCTACTAAATTGGACCTAACTTCACGTCATATCAAAACAGTCTAAAGAGGGTGTACTTTGCATGTATGAATTTCCTTTCCCTCTTATAGAATGCATAGCCTTAAGCTCGATCGACAGACAATTTCACATGGTTCATACGCTTTCTTTTTGGGAACATTCCATGTGTGTGCACGGTGCTTGTTGCCATATTATATTGCAGCGCACATGAGTTTGTACCATCTATGATGGTTATCGAACTGTAGATGCGCATCAACTTCAAGATCCAAAGTCCAATCCAATGGATGGAATTCATTCCAATTTCTTTTTCTCGACAATAATTCATCGTTCTACCATGGAGCTTCCTCTAGAAATTTGTTTTCCAATAACTACGTGAGCAGTTGTCTCGCTTTAGATTACTCTGGTACACCTCGTACGTCCGTGAAGTTTTAAGGACTCTCCCTGTAATTATACAAAAATTACTCGTTTGACAAACCAGGAAACAGAAGAAGAGGGAATGTTCTTATTTTGACCAAGTAAAAGAGTAAAATATTAACTATTGCACAAGTTACCAACTCCAATGTTCAAGATTAGAAGAAAAGATAATATATGAAAATCCCCAAAGTGGCCCCATCACCCCTTTTACTATTCCCCACCCAATCACTTTAATGTACATAGAATGTGCACTAGCGATGACCTCATTGTACCTTTCCAATTGTTAGGTCAAACGTGCCCTATTTTTAAACCAAATCTTGTTGGTTATTCATTTATTTGCAGAAAGAATTTTTATTTGACACGTCGGAGTGAGGCAACAGTTTTGTCACGATGGGAGATATTAGAAATTTAGATATGTGCATGTGACACAATTAGAGAGAGGGGATGGGCTCGTCGGCCATGAGGGTTTCGCCGGTGAGGGCACCAAACGGCGACGTCGAGGGGTTGGAAGGTGGGGTCTTTTATGGTGAAGAAGAAGATGGATCATGGCAAATAGGTCATTTTGTAGGGATGCTTCATGCGGTAAGAAGTCCAAGCTTTGATAGAGCATGGGCCCATCATATAAGACGTTACGTAGGACATTTGACGCATAAAGTACACACAACTTTTAACGGCCACCCTGATATGACTAAGTCCACCCCGTAATTGCTCTCAATCATTCAATTGTAAAGTAATGGCCCTATTCCTTCTTTTTTTCTATTTTCTTTAGGATCTAGTTTTCATAGTTAAGTATTTCCCTCGTTTTTTTTTAGTATATTAAATAATTTTTTAGTAGTATTCTTAGATATTCCTATTACGTTTTTCAAAACTTGTTTCCTCTAGAGGTGTGCAAAACAAACCACCCAAACCGGAAACCAATCGGACCGGACTGAACCGGCCGGTTGGGTCCGGTTTCTGGGAGTGTTGATACGATTCTCGGTTCCTAAAAGTGGAACCGGTGTCTGGGGGGTCCGGTTCCCGGTTTCAAGGGAGAATAAGACCGATTACATATACTTTTTTATTTTTTATTTCTTAAAAAAAAATTAGTAAAATGTGAATTAAATCCTAAGAACTTCATTGACAAAAATTAGTAAAATATGAACTAATTTCTAAGTGACCGGTTCCATTGGATCGGACCGGATCGGGAATCTATCACTCCTAGTCTCCTCTCGTATATGGTCAGCTACATAACGGGCCATAATTTAACTTATCATGGCCTTGAAAGCTTCTCACCACCTTTTGAGGCTCGTTAAAAAGGCCCATTGGCCCTTCTCGGCTCGTTCTCCGTATGTCAAGGTCCGTGTTCACGGTTAGGTTCATGGGCCTCGCCTTCTTTTGCACATGATGTATGCTCACGTCAGCATTTTGTTTTTTTGGGGGGAGGCAATGCGTATGTCTGTTCACCGACGTAAAAATTGGCCACTAAAATTCACCAACGTAATTACTTGTTCCCGATTGCAATTGAGTTGTTATTGTTCGTTGACCAATTAACTCCCCATTTCTTGTTTTGGTCCCACACCATCTAAGTAAGGGTGAGCATGATCCCGATTAAAATCGGGAGTCAGACCGAACCGGCCATGGGAACTGGTCTGGTTCTAGTGAGAATTAGTCCGGTTCCCAATTCTAGATTTTTGGAACCTATATTATGCGGTTTGGTTCTCGATTCTTGGATACGAACCGAATCGAACCAAACTGGGAATCGAATAATCGAAAAACCAGATTTAGAACTAAGCTGTTTATGTTATGTGTTTTGAACCTTTTATTGTTTGCTTTATTTTACATGTCCATCTATTGCTAATTGTTGCCAATGACGGATGGGTTTTTGTTGTTACTTTATATTTCATTTTTCTTGACTAAAAATGAAACAAAAAAAGGAATAAAAAATGAAACAAAAAAAAAATGGTCGGTTTCGAGTAGACCGTGCGGTTCTAGGGTATACAGGGTAAGTTCCTGATTGCAAAATTTGAGAACTGGTCTAGATGGAACCAAAACCTATCCTGAGACCGCTCACCCCTACATTTAAGTTCTAAGAGTGTCAAATTCACTTTTATGAATGGGGCGATTACACTTTGCATGTTTAATGATGTGGAGTCTCTCACTTAACGGCTTCAACTTCCATCTTGTTCAATTGGATCCTAAGCTTGACAAAAGTTTTTCAATTAAGCCTTAGAAGTCTATTGCCAATTGCCAAGCAGCTAGACTTTGTTACAAGAACTTAAGTTCTTGATTGCAAAATTTGAGAACCGATCTAGATGGAACCAGAACCTATCCTGAGACCGCTCACCCCTACATTTAAGTTCTAAGAGTGTCAAATTCACTTTTATGAATAGGACGAATACACTTTGCACCTTTAATGAGGTGGAGTCTCTCACTTAACGGCTTCAACTTCCATCTTGTTCAATTGGATCCTGAGTTTGACAAAAGTTTTTCAATTAAGCCTCAGAAGTCTATTGCCAATTGCCAAGCAGCCAAACTTTGTTACAAGAACTTAGGTTACTTATGCTCAATTACTTTTCCTCGAGATGGATTTCTTCTAGTTTCCCTCTCAGTCCACGAATTTAACTCGAACTTGTTCTCGAGAATATTGTCATTGGCAAAATCAGGACAGAAGTGAGTCACTCGATCCCTGGATGGTCACATTAGCTGTCAAGATTTTGGGAACATCCAGAAAATTAGTTTACTTTACTAGAAAAGTCGAGAAAGGGAAAATAGAGAAAGAGTTCAAGTTTTTGCACTTCTTATTAGAGGTGATCAATGAGTGAATCTGAACTTGGCCGAGCCTTTAGATTAGGCCTAATTTTGTTGCCTAGGTCCACCCATAACAATAATTTCATGTGTAAAACGTTCGGGTTTGGGCGGATCTTCACTAGCCTAACCTGGCCAGGCCGGCTTCATAATTAAATAGCCTTGTCCAAGCCCAGGCCAAAAGTTCCCTTCGGTTCCATATGACCAAGACGGGCATGTGGTTCTCCATGTCCATGATTAGGTCTGCTTCCTATAATTGTTATTGTTCGTGTTTTTGCTCTCGTTGTGGTAACTCTCATGTTATTTGTCTAAAGAGTCGCCCGTTCACATGTGTATGGTGCAACTTGTATGTAACAAGAAATGAGAAAAATTATGTCAGATACATATATGTATATACAAACTTCAATGTTTTCAATAGCGCACATTTTGCTACGTACATAGACACAATAAAGCTAAGTTTAAAAGTTATCGCAGCGAACTTCTATACTTGAATATACATTCACTAATTTAAATACTCTGTTAGGATTTATCACATCACTTTATAAACTAGAATTGTACACCGGTTTTTATAAACCTATCTTCTCTTATTGGGCTTTGAGCTCATAATGGGCTTGACCCAAGCCCAACCCAGAGTCTTCCAAAGTTCCCTGGAGGGACCAGTCAACAAGAGGAAAACTTCTCTTTGGCACAAAATGCACGTAGAGCATGTTTCCTGAAAAAGAGGAAAAGCTCCTGTGTGATTGTAATGTTGGAGCTTGACCGAAATGAAAAACAAAGGAACATAGTGCTTGTGTTTGTATTGGTGCCGAGACAAGAGAGCGAAGATAATGTTTTGTTAGATCAAGGGGCATATTTGGTGAACATACGGGTGTTAATCCGAGTGCGTGTACACTTTCGAGTGGCCTGGATATACGAGTATTACTTAGAGCAATCTCGATTTTTGAGGTACGATTCCCCGAAACCCGTCTATTCTCTTCCCATAATGGCAAGGATAAATGAAAGTTTAAAGCTCAAGCATAGTATACAAAAACTGGCCAGTGAAAATTACATAACGTTATAAGATGAAACCACTGGCATGAGCTGCATTGGCCTCTAAAACACATTGAAGATTATAATCTAAAGTACGTGAAAGAGCACTTTATTTGAGTCCTGATGGACACATTCATAGAACTCATCAAGAGAGACAAGGCAGCTTCTTCAGTTCTCAGTAGGAGGCTTGTGGGCTGGCTTGTGGGGGAAAGGAGGGCCCTTTGGCTTCTTCTCTGGGGGGTGCTCAAACGGTGGCTTGTGCTTCATCGGGGGCTTCTCGCCCTTACCCTTTGGTGGCATGTGCTCCTTCTTGGGCGGCTTGTCGTGGAAAGGAGGGCCCTTTGGCTTCGGCTCTGGGTGGTGCTCAAATGGTGGCTTGTGCTCCTTTGGCGGCTTCTCGCCCTTACCCTTTGGTGGCTTGTCCTCCTTCTTGGGCGGCTTGTGCTCGGGGAACGGCTTGCGGTCCTCCTCAGCGACCTCCTCGGCGAGAATATGGCCGTGAGGGTGGTGGTGATGTGGAGGCTTGTGCTTGGGGAACGGCTTGTGTCCATCTTCCTCAGCGTACTTCAAGAGGAGTCGGCCGCCGCCGGGGTGGTGCTTGTGGGGCGGCTTGTGCTCCTTTGGGGGCCTTTCCTTCTTGAACGGGTGGTGGCGGTGGTCGAGCTCCTCCGCGATGGCGCTCGTGAAGAGCACCAGGCCTAGGAACAACACTAGCAAGTACTTGAGAGACATGGTTCTCTTTGCTGGTTTTGGTCAGTGAAGGGTGAAGTGAAGTGAAGTGAAGTGAAGAGGCGGGAAGGTTGGGTTATATTTATAGTGTCTTTGCACCAATGATGTCAGCACACGTGTCACTCTAGGTTTGGACTTATTGGTCTTTGAAATTTGGACTTAAAGAGTGTGAAAATCAAGGTTATGGGCTTAATACCCAAAAAAACCTCAAACTTTAGTTTTTGTCTCATTTCTACCTTTTGTTTCATAAAAAACCTCCAATTTTAGGTTATGTCCCAATTCTACCCTAAACTTTTTTTTGTCTCATCAAAAACCCTCAACTATAAGTCCAGTCTCAATTCTACCTAAACTTTTTTTTGTCTCATAAAAAACCCTCAACTTTAGGTTCAGTACCAATTTTACCCTAAACTTGTTTTATCTCATAAAAAAATTCCAACTTTAGGTCAAGTTTCAATTTCACTCTAATTTTTTTGTTTCATAAAGATCTCCATTAACTCTCTATCAAAATCACCCTCAGGATTTTGTGCTTATCGATCTCTCATGCTTGGGAATGTTCCATCTCTCGCGGTCGGAGAGTGCTTGGGACACTCAAACAGCTCTTGCTTGAGAGTTTTCTATCTCTTGGTTGTCAACGAGAAATTTTGGACGGAGGGTTAATAGAGTCAAATTTGTGACTCAAGTAAAATTTTGTGGTTTTTTATGAGACTGTAAAAATTTTACAATAAAATTGAGACTGGATGGTAAAATTGGGACAAAACCAAAAGTTTGAGATTTTTCATGGGGCAAAAAAAAACTTAGGGTAAAATTGGGACAAGATATAAAGTTGAGGGTTTTTTATGGGACAAAAAATTTTTATGGTAGAATTGGGACATGACCTAAAGTTGGAGGTTTTTTATGAGACAAAAGGTAGAAATGGAACAAAAGCTAAAGTTTGAGGTTTTTTTGGGTATTAGGCCTTTTAGAATGTGTGCGGCAAAGAGAAAGTGATTGCTTGATTTTTATTTTTATTTTTGGGTCAAAAAAGTGATTGCTTGATTGATGGGGCCAAAACGAGTTGAAAAGTTTAACAATTTGGCTTAGGGCCGTTTGACAACTGGCCAAATAGTGAAAATTTCTGTTCTTTTGTTCTAGAATCAGTTTTGGAATAGAAATCCGTTTGTTAAATTTTTTGATTATGGGCACAAATTCTTACAAATTTGTGCTTAGAATCAGTTTTGGAGCAGAATCAAGAATAAAAAAAAAAGTAGCTTCTTGATTCTGGGAACAAAAATGAGAATCAAATTTTTTTTCTTCTTCTTTTTCTTGGTTTTTAATGCAGCTTCTAATGTCCGACGCGAGGGCCACCCTCGCCGTATCTGGCAAGATTAAAATATTTTAATAAAAAAATGTTATTAATAAAAAAATATTTTACCGGCCATGAACAAAAAAAAATTATTTTACCAGTCATGGCCGGTTATTGGGCCATAAAAAAAATATAATTAATAAAAAAAATATTTTACCGGCCATGGCCGGCGACCAGGCCATGGCAAAAAAAAGAAAAAAATTATTTTCAATAAAAATATCTTTTATTACAATATTTTAATAAAAATATTATTAATAAAAAAATATTTATAAAAAAAATATTTTACCGGTCTTGGCCAAAAAAAAGAAAAAATTATTATTAATAAAAAAATTTATTAATAAAGAAAATTTTTACCGGCCATGGCAAAAAATAATAAAAAAAATATTTTAAATAAAAGTATTATTAATAAAGAAAATTTTTACCAGCCATGGCCAAAAAAATAAAAATATTATTTTTAATAAAAGTATTATTAATAAAAAAATTATTTTACCGGCCATGGCCAAGAAGGAGGAGAAGAAAAAAAGAAAAGAAAAAAAAGAAAAAAAGAAATAAATATTTAAAATTTTAAAATATTATTAATAAAAAGAAATTTTATGCCGTTACCAAACGCATTTCTGTTCTTTTACTATTTCGGGAATAGAAATTTTGGGCCGTTACCAAACGCCTTCAAATACTCAGAATCAATTTTCGGGCACAGAATAAAAAAGAATCATTTCTGAGCAGAATCAGTTCCCGAGCACATAATCATTGCCATGCGCACCCTTAGCCGCTCGCTCGAGATTGATCGATGGGGACCCTTGCTTGCTCCGTAAGAAGACATTGAATATCACCGCCATGGAATAATAGAAGATTGCAGTGCTTTTGCTAACTTATCTTTGCATGCATGCACATATTTTAGAAGATTAAATTTACGAACACAGAGCATATATGAAAGATGTTGGAGCAAGGAAGAACTCATGGGAAAATGCTGGAAGGTATAGAGATTGATTTACAAAATGGATTTATCAAGCCGATGCAATGAATTGTGGATCAAGAATTGCCTCGACCGTTCTCTTGTATTTCAATCCGTGTCATTTGCTCATTATAATGAGAGGTCGGATTCACTTCTAAATAATAGAAATAAGCAGGATATGTAAGTGTTGAGATCATATAATTTCACATAGAGCCTACCCTAATTTTCTTAGATCAATATTTATAAGTAATTTTTCCCATACTCCTTGCGCTAATTAATGATCGGATGGGTACATTGTGTTTATATTAATGGATGAACTTAACATTATATATGCAACCATTTCCTCCAAAAACTTAAGTTGTTTGAGTATGGTGTAGAATATATTTTATATCTTAACCAATTGAGTTATCTTGAAATGCAAAAACATGGAATGATTTACAACCCCATAAACATGGATCGATTTCAACACGAGGCGATTGAGCGGGCATGTCTGCGAGCGGCATTCTTGCTTGTGTTTAGACTTGAGAGTCAGAAGGAAATCTCATATCAGACATTTCAAACTCTTATCAGACCTTTTGCTGATGCCCCTTGTAGCTATGCTTCTGGCTTTAAGGATTTGAGTCAAAAGTTGCTGCTAGTAGGGTGTCAAAAAAGCCCGCGCTGGCCCGACCCGGCATAGCCTAGCCCGACTCTACCCTAAAATTTCGGGTTTTTTAGGGTCGGGCCTCTCCCCTCTCTCTCTCTCTCTCTGCGCGAGCACGACGGATCCGATCGCCCCTCCGCTCGCCGTGGATTTCTGTTTCGATGCCTTACACGGCCAAGTCCTCTCCTACTGGCACTTCTTCGACTCGATCCGCAATCTGGGCCTCCTCCGCGACCTCTCCAAGGTCCTCTACGTCTTCGCCGAAACCAGCCACGAGGTCATGGCGCTGTCTGAGTCGAGCGTCGCCTACGTCACTGGGGTCGAATTGATTGACTCGCCACCTCTGGTAAGCCGCGCTGATCCGCACAATTTGCCCTTCTTCGATGGGGTTTTCGATTTGGCGTTTAGTGGGAATTTGGAGGAGGCTCTGTTCCTGTTGCGGTTTGTGGCGGAGATAGAGAGGACGGTGAGGTTCGGAGGGTCGGTGGGCTTGTGTGGTGGTCTTTGAGGAGTGCAGTGACGCGGAGATGGAGGAGATTGTGAGTTTGTTTAGGAAGTCTGAGATTGGCTAGAAGCGAGTTTTTGCCCCCCAAATGTTCTCTCTTTCGAATGTGCAAGCGAAGGGTTCTGTTTTGGGAGCTCAAATTCTGATTCGCAATGAGTCTTTTTCAAGATGGGTTGGTGTCATTTTTGAAGTTGAAGCTCGTGTAATGTTTCTTTCAAGTGAATGCATTTTCATGAGATCGTCTAGCCAGGAGATATTTGACATTTTTGAGTTTACGCTTTGCCATTTTGTCTGTTTTGGTGATTTGATCTTATTAAAATGCAGTCTTTTGGTGGAGAATGAGTTTCAATTATTGAGTGGTTCAGCGGATATTGGTAGAAATGCTTTGACTCGCTGTCAGGTTGGAGTTCCCGTGCTTCTTGACTGGTTTGGACACTTCTTCATTCTGGGCGATTAAGAGTTCCTTTCTACATTTGTCGACCCTGCAATTAGGTAGGTCTCTTCTATCCAGACCATGGTTAAGTTCCGTCTTAATATTTTACATTTTGAATTAACTAGTTGTGCGATTGTGAAGGCCATTGATCGACACTTTTCCTGCTAAGATGAAGTACGAGTGGAAGTGGCATTTAGAGGCTTGGAGATACGGATCTGATTTAGACTATGAGCTATGAGGATGGATAGCCGCAGGACAAGATCTTTGTCAAATGGGGTTGCCGAACATACCGGGGTTAAGTGCAAATTGTCCATTTTAGTGGAGGAATTGTTGGAAATGCTAGCAGGAGGAAATACTGGGGACAAAAAAAATATGGCCACAATTCTCATTCCTTCCCTTTTCACTGATTTCACTTTCTTTTTGTCCTTACTCTTTTCCCAAGCACAGTGCAAGTGTCATCTGTTGGAGGATAGGTCTTTCTACCCTTCCATTTGTGCTGTTGAGTTCCTGTCTTTAGCATCTGTCTGATCTAATATTTCAATTGTCAGATCTGCTCGACATTAACTTATCATGTTTGAACGTGATTAAACTGTCCTACACTCTACCTTTATATACATGGACTGCTGTGGGAGGCTTACGTAAGTAGTGTTATTTTTGACTTCTTGTTCTTATGTTCCTGCTTGGCCTAGCAACATATATAGAATAATTAAAGGTTAGGAAAGTGAGATTCATTTTACCACCAGAGTCAATGAGAGAATGTTGTTTATTGCTCCCTCTGTGTTTGCACTGTTGTTGGGAGTAGACTGAAATGAAGATTGAGGTTGGTTTTCTGAGATCATTGTCCCACCATTTGCACCATGAAACTTTCTGTTTATGTGCATTATGATGCGATTCTTATCCTAGTGTCACAATGTGCTCATGCTTCTACATTCTCTTGCAATTTCTCAAGCTCTCACCTCAAGAATCTTCACAAGATCCCATCTAACATGTTCAGAAAGGAGGCAAATACAAGATTCCTTGTACGAGCTTGAGAGTCACAAGCCAATTCAAGTGACGAACATGCAATATAATAAGAACAAAAATGGGGAAATCTGAGGTGAGGGGCGATTCCATGATCATACGTATTCAAGGTTGACACCCATTTTCCAATCTATATGCCAGAAAAAACCCGAAATCCGACCCGACCCGACCTGATCCATCTCTTGGGGTATATGCTGAACAGGGTCTTGGGTCGGGTTAAACGCGACCCTATAAGTTTAGGGTCGGGTCGAGTATCATGAAAACCCGATCCGACCCGACCCGACCCTTTGGCACCCCTTAGTAACCTCCGCTTTCAGAAAGTTGATTTGTACTCGCCATATATAATCATAAATGCAATGATTTATTTGCTTTTCTGATGGAAATGCGTATGTCGCTGTAATAATGCTGCTATGAAAATTGATTTTTGTATCGACAGCATATAAGTTGAAAATCAAGTGTGTTTCTTTTCACGAGGTTTCGTGTGCCACATCCACATGAAACCCTAGAATCAATGTCACATTCCACTCGAGGAATATTTTCATTTTTCATTTTTCATTTTTCGTTGGCTAGACTATAGTTAATGATATTAATTAATAGTGCACATTATTAAATGTTATTTTCGTACGTAAATACACTGTACACCATGCATGGTGTGCTTCTATTCATTTCCCATTGCAATGGTGGACTTTAAAATAGAAAGCTCCGGACATGAAAGATCTCGAAACATCCTACAAGCTTCATAAATCATTAAGATTGATCTAATAAAATTTGCGATCGCTCTTGTTGAAAATATCCCACATCGCTAGACAATATATGTAATATGCTCTTTATATACATGCGGTTTCTGTTTACTTATTAGTTGAAATTTTTAAATTGGATTTTCAAATATGATATCGGAATTAGGGTTTCATCCCTTTCGCACGTGCATCCTACCCTGTTGGTCAAATTCCATGTGTCACTCCTAATTTGGTGTAAAAATATTACATATACTCTTTATACACACGTGATTTCTTTCTATTTATTAGTTTAATATTTTGAGCCGGACTTTTAAACAACTCCAATCAATGTGGTTGCCGTGTTTCGCGTTATTTAACTTGTAAATAGTTATAAAATGTGACGTCACTGCCCATCTCAGCTGGGAAAGTGTCCTTAATTAGGGCAGCCTCGACACAAGGGAAAGCGTTACAGAAACCTTTGATTAGATGCTGATCTTCGTTGTTTTCTTGTGGCCATCCTTGGAAAGATACTGTTCCCATTCGAGCCAAAAAGGACACCACGCGTTGGTCACGTGAGCTTGATTTGCGTGACTTCTTTCGACTGGACAGTGCCGACATTTTTGGGATGGTCGTGCCTTGCGGCTCGCGGTGGCAGATAAGAGTGTCAAAAAGGGAGAATTCCGAACCGATCCGAACCCTTTGAATCGAGTTTCTTTGGATCGGGCCAAGTCGGATCGATCGTATATATGCTTCATCATGTCGAAACACCAAAATGAGAATGGTTCGGGTTGGATACTGATCCGAAACACAAAATTGTTATTTTTTAAATAATGGTGAGAGAAAGAAGCAAATCTGCAATTAACACAATTCCTTCTGAAAATCTCCTTTGATTTTCATGGGTTAAGACCGTTTCACTTTGCACTGGAGACATTTTTTATTCAAAACTTCGAAGAGAATTATAGAATATTGAGAAGGACACGACGAGTTAACAATGGTCTGAAAAAATTTTAGAATAGACGCGGGATGTGTAAGATTTTGATTATATAACCTGTCTGTTCAATGATGTTCAACAAATGCCAATAGAAGGAAGGCCTTTTAATTAGCCAATTCACCTTGTAAGTCTTGAATTAGATTTTGTCTTAGCCTAAAGAAGCCAACCCGAACCTTAGCATATCCCTTAAAGGCTACACCGACCACGAGGTGTAAATGGATTTTGGGTATTGTCGGGGCCAGGGTAAGAAGAAGATTATGACCGGATAGAGGGGCTGGCAAGTGCGGATATCAGCACGCTAAAATAAGGAACGTATGAGTGGAGCCCGTCCTGTTATGGAAAGGAGGATAATACAATTAAATCCAAGAAATCTAATGGCTTGCCCAGGTTATGTAACCACAGCTTGTTAAATCCTATAGGGTCCAAAATCGATTATCATGTTGTTCATCCCATCCCCTCTTGTCCTCCACGTATTCAATGTCTAAGAACCTCACTAGGGTCGCTGTCATAGCTGAGATCAACAGTGACGCCGCGCAATGAGCACTTTAAGAACAGAGGGGCGACCTTGACATGTCGCATAAAATCTAATTGGAGAATTCAATACGTAGCATGCATTAAAATGCTTCAGAAGAGCTATGAATTAGCTTTCGGCTTTTTGTCTACGGCATTTTCTTACCCCTCGCACGTGTTTTGCTTATAAATCAATGCCTAACGTTAAAGCCATGTCCCCCTGAATGGAAATTCCTCCTGAATCCCGTCTCGAGAAAGTTTGGTGCACATTCTGTGGGTCAATGTGATTGCAATTGCTTCAGGAGATGGGGACATTGCTTCCCTGATTTCAGTTAGAAATTAGAATAAGATTAGATTTCTGTCAAGAACAAACGGCTACTTAGTCCATCTTGAAATGATATTGTAATCCAAAAAGGGAAGCATCAAATTCAAAACCCTAAATGGTTTCTTTAGTGAGAAGCTTGCTTAAGTTTTTGGATTTGAATAATGAAAAAAAAACCACAAAAAACTTCAAACTATGCCCAATATGATACGTTTACCCTGAATTTTTTTTATGACATCAAAAACCCCAAACTATACCTACTATGATACATTACCCTAAACTTTTTTTTGTGACATAAAAAGTCCCAAACTTATACGAGTGTGACATATTTACCTTCCGTCGAAATTACGTTAGATGATTTTTCAGGCATAACAAGGTTGTTTTTATTTCACTTAAGTCACACGGGAACAATATCAACACTGTCTGCTTTCTAGCATCCGTATAAGCAAATTTTTAACGGTTTTCGTTGACGGAATTTTGACGGAGGGTAAATGTATCACACAGGTACAAATTTGATATTTAAAAGTTTAGGTTAAATGTGTCACAGTTGGTGTGATTTAGGATTTTTGGTAGCTTTTGCTCTTGAATAATTATATTTATGTACCCTTTCAGGGTCACCCTTGGAAGCACGGACCTTTGCACTGTATTGATTGCTCGGTATGTGTAGGACAAAACCGCTTCCACATCCGGCGAACGACTTGCCGCAGCATTTGAACATTGTTTTGATGTCGTCAAGAAGCACAGACCTATATGTCCTCCATTAGTTACCTAATTTGCATGGGATGGGAAAACTTTCACATCGTGAAGGATTAGTCGATTGTCAATGGTCGCCAGACACCCGCAACGTGGTGTTCACATTCTTCTTTCATGTAGTAATATACGTCTTCAATTTCAACCAATTTGTCAACCTTATCACACTTGACGTTTCCATCATCTTTATCATCATGGTGGCATCAAAACATGAAGATAGACTGTGTTATCGTATCAGGACAAGAGCATCTTAACGGTTTGAATTATTAAAATAGAATTAACTTTACGACTACGTACACTGGAGAAGAGAATATGATGTGCTATTGCACCTTTTGCTTTTCTTTTTCGGCCGTGACTTTCTTTCCATGTGTGGAAAGTTATTTGGAATTTTTATCAATCTATCCTTGAGCAGTAAGTATGGATGAAAGATGTGTATGCTTGAAGATAACTACTATATGTGAATGAATTTCTACTTAAAAGTGTGGTTTTGGTAAATTTTCCCATTTTGATGATAGATCTAATTAAAAAAATTTGTGTTGAGTACAGTTACATAACGAGAGCAGACAGTTTTTGAGATAGATCAATGCCAATAGTCTACCATAGGACGACCATGCATCATATTAAGGGTTTGTATCAACTTAATGTGTAATGGACGATTTTTTATTGTAATGCATTGCTGCATAAACGGAAGATGTGTATGCTTGAAGAGAACTAACTCATGTGAATGAATTTTCATGTATCATCGATCTAAAGTGTGGTTTCGATAAATTTTTCCACTTAATGATAGACTTAATAAGAGTTTGTGTCAAGTTCACCGACACCATGAGATCAATAGTGTTTGTGCAATAGAATTCTTCATTGACGATAGAATTACTAAAATTCTTATGCCTGAACCTCGGAAATTCCTAAGACTTGCGCACTTGATTGATATCGATGTTCTTATGTTACGAGCAAAAATCACATGGCATCGAGAGAGCAAACAACTTCATTACATCATCGAGCATATTGCACCTCCTAAGAGTATAATAACCAATTTTAGCTTGACTTATCTGAGGTCGGCACGGTGCAACTTTAGCTTGTCTATTTAACCCGCCAGATGCTAGTGAGGGTGGACCTCGCCATCATCGGGCGAGGCCCGACATGGCCGGCCCTCGCCTGTGGGTGGTCGCCACGGCTAGCTAACCGGCCATGGAAGAAGGACAAAAAAAAGACAAAAATATATAAAGAAATCAAAAAAATGTTCATGACAGTACTAACTGTACCATGTGGGGCGACCGGCGTCCACATCAGTGATCACTGGCCAAAATTAGCTAGAAGGACTATATTGTCAAATCATCAAACGGTTTAGAATTTAATTAGCCGAATTGAAAAGTGACATCATTTTTCTAATAACTATCTCAATTTGTGTGGGACGGGAAACTCCCACTTCTGGAAAAGGACTAGCCAATTGTCAAGAGGCATGAAACACTTCACATTCTTCTTTCTTGTACTAACCTACATCTTCAATTGCCATCAACTTGACATAG